GTGGCGCCCCCTGCAGCCCTCCGGCCCCCGAGCCACCCGCTCCCTCGGCTGCCCTCACCTTCTTGATCAGCGACACCATGTCTGCGGACCAGGCAGCAGGGTACATCACTGTCGCCGTCCTGAACACGTGAGCGATTTCGTTCGTGGAAGTGCTGGAGCGAATGTGATACGGCCTCTGAAAAACGCCACAAGGAAAGCATTTCAATTCATCTTTTCAGCCTCCTTGGGAAATCTGTTTAGAGCAAAGAAGCTTCAAACAAAGCCTCTTTGTACCTTCCCCAAGCCTCCTATTGCAAGTCTCTCCCTGCGTGATCATAGCTCAGTTGAAATAAACAAAATAATAACGTCAGCAAGGACAATAATAACTAGATATTTAAACAGCATCACAGGTAGCAGCCAAAACCCAAAAGTTAGAGTCATTAGCCAGCTTGTGTTTGCTTGGCCTTTTTAGTATTTGCATCTTACAGGGCTATCAAAAAGGGTTTTATATATATATAGTGCCATGGTTAGAGCATTCCCAATATTCCCCGTAAAATGTGTCACTGTTTTCAGTTCTTCATTCGTTTTGGAGAGAACACAGCAAAAAGGAGCGGGATTTCTCCCACCTCTCACATCAGCTGAAGCAATGGTGTCCCAGGAAGAGTGACAAGCCCTGGGTGTGACACCAGGCTGCAGGACGGCTGGGTCCCTTCTGCCCAGTGTCACGGCGAAGCGGCAGCTGAGCCGGCTCCGAGGAGCCCGTGGCTGCGTGCGGGGGGCAGGCGTGGACCCAGCTGCTCACCAGGGAACTCGGTCTGCAGCGATGGGCAAGGTACAGCTGGCGCTACCAGGCAGGTGACGTAACCCCACGTTGAACTCCCAACCACAACAACACTACTGCCTTACTTAGGGAAGAGAATTTACGACGGTAGAGTGTTTCCATTTTGAAAGACTTTTGATTCCCAGATTTTTACAGTATTTCAGGGGGGTGAGGGTGTTACAAGCGCATTTAAAAAACAGTAGCTACAAACTGTGAGATCAAATCAGGTGCAATGTGCTTATTGTGGACCGACACTAGATGGACCTCAAGGGCCCCCTTCACTTCCCCCATGCGGTAACCACCACTGGTGCCATCATCTTATCATGGCTGTGCCCTCAGGTTTGAACACCTCACAGCATTTCTGCTCCCATCATTGGAAATAGGGTCAAAAGTCAATGCGACGAACAGCCCTGCCATCCATTTAATACTACAAATGGAAAACTCAAACATTATATTAATATGTTTACAGGGGACATATGGCTTCAGCTACCCAACAGGTGAGACAACCATGTCCCCTCAATGTGTACCAACTTGATCACTCACAATTTGAGATGCACAACTTCATTTGAAAATGTGTTTTTTAAAATACTTTCATCGAAACATTTTTTTAAGCATTCTACAAAGACTGATGATAGAGTTTCTTAAAAATGTTTTGTATGCTTGTACTGAAAGAAGTTGTTTCCTAGTGTCACAAGATTTTAAACAATCTTTCGCTTAGAAGAATGTAATTTAAATAATTTTGTCCCACTTTGTTTTACACAACACTTCCAAAACACTAATCTAATTGCCTGTCTACAAGGCCCCTGACCTTACCTGAGTTAGAAGCAGAAGACTGACGTGACAGGCAGGGATTGTGCTTTATTAATAATTTACACATTGCAGTTTGCTTTTGCTCAAACTGCTCAATCTCATTACAACAGCAACGAGATTTTTTTTCAAGTTCTTTTTTTTTCCTTGCATGATGGGAGCTCAAAGTAAATTATACTGCAGCCCAGACTTCAGGACTTGTCACTCGTTGGCCTTGCCCAGCTTACGCCAACCCAGAGGCCCTCGGGTGCAGCGGGGAACTGTCAACACGCTGTTCTGTATTGCAACGGTTGCCCTGAGCTCCTGGCTGTGATCACAAGAACCCTGGTGAAGACGAGGTTTTTGCTTCCTATGCTGTAATAATCCTTAAAGCCTTGAATTTGGCTTGGCCCTTTCACCCCTGTTCTAAAGCATTAACCTTTCCAACAGAGAGTTTAAGGAAAGAGACAGACAGGCAGACGGGGACAGGAGCCGCACACAGTACCCGGGTCCGGAGCAGCTCATAGGCAGTGATTCCCAGTGACCACCAGTCCACAGCGAAGGAATAGCTGGTGGGTTTTGTGGAGTTAAACATTTCAGGTGCTGCAAAATACAGAAAAAGGAAAGTTTGCCTTGATGCAATCTCAAGTGGAAATGAGCAACGCAGAATGCATGAACCATGCCACAGAGAGCATCCCTGCGATTCTGCTTATGACACGAATTAGCACACTACCCATTACCACGCCTTTGATAATTTCTGCTTTTTTCTTCAAAACAATGGCATACGGCTGGTAGACTGGTCCTTTACCAAAACACCACTGAAGAGGACACGAATCAGAATGCAGGGGTTTCCTCACAGCAACTCATTTATTGGCCTTTATCAAGCTCTGTGACTGCTGATGCAGAGTGGCACTGCAGAAATGTCCCACACCGGGGAGGCTCGGTGTGGACCGAAGTGCAACTGCCGGAGTGTGCAGACCACCCGGTCTCCCACCCAGCCAGGCGCTGCACCCTGCCGCCCTCCTGTCCCGCTCAGCACTGCACGCCTGGCAGGACCCACCGCCCTCGCATCCTGCTCAGCACCGAGCACATGGCAGGACCCACCACCCTCGCATCCTGCTCAGCACTGAGCACACGGCAGGACCTGTCGCCCTTGGGTCCTGCTCGGCACCACACACCCCTTATAAAGGGGAAAAGAAAAAGAAGCCATTTTATTTTGGAGTAGTAGAGGTATGACGTCTGCATAGGGGGCAATCACTGTGTGTCTGTCTCCCCTGTGTCTGTGTTGATTTGCTCATGAACACTGTCCCTCCCTCTGCCCCACGGCTGCTGCAGCAGCATCCACCTGCTCCAGAGTGCCTTTGCCCCAGGAGAGCAGCCCCCGCACACCCCTACAGCTGTCTGACAAGTTTCTTGCCTGGGACTAGTCCCATGCCATTGCCTGGAGAGAAAAAGCTTTCTAAAAAACTGCATTTTTTGTGAACTGGAGAAAGAAGGGGAGGAGGTGGTATGTAACCATAGCAGCCAGTGCAGCTGCGCAGCTACTCAGCTCCATGGGCACAGGGAGGCTGGCACCACACTTCCATAGCACCAGTGCTGTGCTTTGTACACGGCAGGCAGGTCAGCGTGCAAACGCGCTGAGCACTGGGGAACCGACCCCACAGCCCTCCGGAGCCTGGCAGGGGCTTGCCCTTCTGTACACCCCCCTTTCCAGGGCTGCGTGTGGCTGGTTTTCACTCGGTGGTAGAAAAAAAACACATTTACTGCTACCAGCAACATAGGTACAACAGGCAGGGCTTTCAGAAAGACTGAAAAAATAGGCTCAGCATTTCTCTCCCAACTGCGGCAGCCACTTCTGCACCACCTGTGAACCCCCCTTGCCATGGGCAAAGCACATCCATCACCACTGTGCCCTGCAGACCCCTATTACGTTTGCCCTCCCATCCTGCTGTTCAAAGACAGGATGCTGTCCACAGCGACAGAGATCGAGCTAAAGCCTTGATCTGCTCTTTCTGATGCAGATCTGGCATCAGCATGGTGATGCTCTCGACTGTATCAGCCTGACACCAGAATACGGGCTCTTCCCTGCCACGCCGAGCAGGTGCTGCAGTCCAGTCTTACGTCCATTTGCCTAAACACAGAGTAATGCTAGTTTTTGAAAGAGCCAGTTCATACAAAAATTCAAATTATGAGCTAGTGATGCAGCAGTGTAAGACTTGTGTTCATGTACTGAGGGACCAAACACAAGCCTTTGTGCTTCATTTTCCTTCTCAAGGGTGGCAAGAGCATTTCATCATTGCTACACAGCTTGATTGCTGCTTGTGAAATGCTCCGAGATCTCACGAGTGCAACTATCTTCTTTTACAATCAAAAACATGCTGTATAGTATAGCATGACAGCACTAAAATCTGTGTTTGTGGCACAGTTGCTTTGGTCTGTTATGTGAAATCAGTAGACGGACGCATATTTTCCAGCTGCATCAGGGTGTTCCTGGGGAGGGATTCCTGTCCTGCTCCCCTGCAGCACCTCTCGAGGCTGTTCCTCATTTCATGCGTTTTGTTACATACCAGGAACAAAAGACTTCAAACTGCCATCAAAAAAGACTTCATCTGTATCCCAACACAGCTGTCAAATCAAGCCCAGAAAGCGGCAGTTCAAGAACACGTAATTGTCATCGGTTCTTACCCATATACGGCTTTGTGCCAGCAATTGTGGTGACTTGGATTTCTTTGGTGAGCATCGTGGCAATATTGAAATCCGTGATGTGCACATGTCCTGAAAGACAGAGGTTAATGTGTAACTTGTTTTATTTTAATTTCACATGAGAAACAGCTTTGAATCAGAAACTGTAAAATGTTCTATGGAAGAGTTTCCAGGAAAAAAAAAAATTCTGGTGGCAGAACTGATGGCAGAAAATGTTTCATCATTCAGGCTGCTTAAAGACATATCTTGTTACGTCAAATAACCCCTTATTTACCCTTCGGGAAGCAAAAAAACTGAATTCTCCAAGAAGTCATTTAATGATGACTGGTTAGAGTCTTTCTAAATTTTGGGGAAAGAGAACTGAACTTTACTGGCAGAAAAAAAAATCCACTATGTTGAAAAAAAAAATTCTTGCAATTTTTGATTTTCTAGCTGCTTGCCCAGCAGGTACCTGCTCCCAGGTACTGAACGCTCTCTCCATTTTCCTTTTTGTAGAACACCTCTAGAATGGAACAAAAGACCTTTGGCAGCAAGCAAAAGAGCCTTGTGCAAGATATTCAAACACTACAAAACCCTCATCGTGGGGTAGGAACTGTTTCTGTGATTGGTGAGCAGACCAATGATGTACAGCAGTACAGGCAATCGATACAAGGCTGGCTTCACTGGAGTGAATTTCTTTGAAACCTGTGTGTTAGTTCAGCCTAATCCTTCTGATTAAACGCAAGCAGTCTGTTCCTCCTCCTGATCTCACGCATCCTCTCCTAAGGCACTGAACTTGCTCATCCCTGGCAAAGGTGGACTCGTTATCAAAAGCATCAGATGTTTCGTACGTTGTGTTTTGCAGACTCATCACCCTCCCCTGCAACAACAGAGGGTGGCTGAATTGCTGCTGTTTCCTCCAGCAGCAGAGATCAAATCAAATGGGCTTTCTACTGATGCTGAGGCTACGACAACACTTCCTCAGTCATTAGCTTCAACAGCTAGAAATTCACTGCTGCTTTAGCTCATGAGTTCAAGCAGTATAAGCTCACCATTATCTACCTAGAAGTTGATGCTTTGGTAATGAACTTCTGTTGTCTCATCTGCACGCTATCAAACATTTAAGTAAATCTTTACGATTGTGCATGTGTATCTGTAATACGAGAACAGTGATGCAAGTTTGCCTGCTGCAAATATCTGATCCAGCTGGGAAAATTTGTGGAATAAAAGCAGAATTTGCAATTTCAGCTAAAAACACTACCATGTCCACGTTCCTGCCTGTGTTTCTTCAATGACATGCAGTGTGTAAAGCACAGGAGCCTCTTGCCCGCACCCTGTATGAGCCGTGGCCAGTGCGCAAACCCTGTGGCTCGGGGGTGGCTGGACACACGTGCACAGCTCCACGAGAGACAGGCGAGGAGCAGCTCTGGCATCCATCAGGACTGGTGGAAGCAGGCCTGCTTTATCCAAACCCGGCACATCCCACACTCAGGCTGTCAGCTTCCAGCACATGGACCACCTCTGTGTTCAGCACCGGTTCCCGCCTCGCTCCGCGCCCTGGCCCACACCTCCCGACCCTGCTGCTGGGCACGCAGACCAGGCAGGCATCACGCTTCTCCAGAAGGCCCCATGACCATGCCACAAGCCTTTGACTTCCACCTCCAGGTCAGCAGCTGGTGAGGACGAGTAGGTCCTCCAAGGATTAGGGAGTCCTTCAGCCCCTCCTCATGACGTTACCATCCATCTTTTCCACAACTTCACGTTCCACCACCAGACTGCCTCGGGAGGGACCTGTCTCCGCAGCTGTGACTCCCCCCAAGATACAGATCTCCTCATCAAATCAGCGGTGCGGGTCAGGCTTCAGTTTGAAGGAAGAAAGGAAAACGTGATGTCCCTCCGGTGAGCCACAGGTACAGCTGGGAGAGCATAAGCAAGGTGCCAGAGCTCTCCTCTCACACCGCACCCAACCGATCCGTTGGGAGCATGTGTCCCTCCCTGCTGCTCGCACTGCTTTAGAAAACCAGCCAGGCCCTCTCCTCCTCAGTCCGCCCACTAAAGAACAGGAGTCAAATCACTGGGGAGCACTCGAGAGAAAAGAACACCACTAACAGTCTTGTCTGGATATGTCCTCTACGTCCTTGCATTGTGTTTTCTTTCATCTCATGCTGTCATTCCACTTTGTGCAGAGCTGTTTTCATAAACATGAATCGTAAAGACTTATTAAGAATTTCGTATTCCAAGCACAAATATGCCTTTCTCTGTATGCATCTTTTAAATGACTCACTTCAAATAAATCACAAGTTTTATAAACTAGCCCACTTGGGAAATCAGCAATCAAGCCAACGAGGCTGAGGAAGAAGGCTGCGGATGGCAAGAGGAGGCTGAACAGCGACGGCAGCGTTGCAGAGCAGGGTGGACCGGGCGACTGGGGATGGCAGCTACTGGTAACCGAGAGGGAAGCCCTGGGCGTTGCTGCTGAGCTTTAGGGTCAAACTTTAAAGCTCGTGTTTTCCTGATTGCTCAGCATCTTTAACTGCAGCCAGTTTCGAAACAGCACAGCCGGAGCTGCACTGCGGGCACCACGTCCTTCCTGAAGCCCATCCTGTCTGCCTGAAATTGGCACTTTCACAGCAAGCCTCCGGTTCTGCATTAAGGCAAAGAATTTTCTTATTTCATCCAGCACCACTGTTACTACATAATTCCTTCACCTTTCTAGAGCATATTTTGTGCAAAAAAATGTTAAGTCTTCTGCAGATTCAACTAGGATGACATATTAGAGAATATGGAGACATTAGGAACTATGGAGTAGGGAGGCTGTTGGACAGACCGTGTCATAACTTTCTCATCTGAGATTAGAGAGCAAATGGGAAAGGTGCTTCAGCTCGACAGGAAGATGGGCCAGAGGGCAGAGTACGGTGGCAAGAAGAGTATAAAAAGAGTGAAGGACTGAAATCTGATTGCTGAAGGTCTGCAGGTGCTTCATGCTCTCAGGGGACTGGTCTCAGTCAACATTATAAAAAATTGATGTTAGCAAATGGCGTGTATTTTCTGACCACAGTTGTGAAAGCCTGGTGAAGGGAGAGGAGAGGGAATAGGGAGCCGCAGCTCCATTGCATGGGGAAAGAGATACTGAACACCAAGCACAATCCACTGGGCTAAATATAGATAAACATGCTACAATAATAGCTGCTCCAGGGACAAGAAAAAAATTGAACTGTGTGTGCACAAAGCTTTCTGCTTGCACGAGAGGACACACCTTTGCTGCCATGGATGAAGAAAAGACATACTACAAGTCATAGCCAAAAGGACACTGAAGTCAAGGGTACATCCACAGAAAATAACTCTGAAACCTCTGCAACTGACAGTTAAAACATCACAGCAAGCAGATCATAGGCTCAAAAATCAACCCAAACTGCAGTGTCATCATAGGAGTTTGCAGGTTATGTCCTGCTGAGCTGAATGCACCTGCAAAGACAAGCAAAGCTTGTTCCCCTGTGCTTTCGGGGAACGCTGGCCCACATTTCCGCGGCTGCAGGGCTCCCAGCTCCCTCTTGGGTGGCCGTCCCACCCCAGTGCTACTGGGCACAGAGGTAGGGCGGTTCCAGGAGTATGGCAACCGGTCACCGTGTCCACTGGTGAGGACAGACCGAACACAGCCCTCACCAGCACTGCACTGTGCTGCTGGAGGGTGGCCCCGGGGACACGGCAATGCCGGGAACCTGGCCGGCCAAGCAGGCCCACACCACATCGGTGGAGCTGGCTGGAGGAAGGACGGGGCTCTGCACCCCTCTGTGCACAGGGCAGCCACAGAGGTACCCAGCGAGGCAGCAGAGAGGCCACTGCACCTGCAGGCAGAAGCAGCTCTGCCAACAGCTCCTAAATAAATAATTAGTCAGCACTTTGAAATTAGAGGTCATATGCAAAATGCGTAGAGCCTGGGCTTGGGTGCTGCCAGGCAACCCTGGTCACACAGAAGAGCCACCCCAATTCCTCGGGAGCTTCAGCATCTCTGTTACAGCCTCTGAAGTGATAATGAATTCGGATACGCCTTGTCCCTGCACTGACTTTTTCTCTTTGAGCACCTTGCTGTAGCTGCTAATGAAGATTTCTCACAACAAGCCATTTTCAAAAAACGTGAAATGATAAAGTGTTTTCCTAATGAGTTAAAAACTAGTAAATATCAGACAACTTTCCACTGTGAGAGCTTTGCCAGGAGAAAATAACCTGTCTAGAGAATAAGGCAAGAATATAGAGTTCTGCCTGAGAAAAAGACTAAAGAAAAAACAATAGCAACATCTATAATATACCCAGCCCCAAATCCTCTTCGGAGCTCCCTCCCAATGTCAAGTGCTCAAGGAAAAAGAAAAGGTGTGAGTGGAGATAATCTATTCAATCGTAGTTCATTCTGTTTGTGAGCATAAATTACACACAGGCTGCAATTGCATGAGCATTTCCATTCAAATGATTACATTTCGAGTAAGTTTTAAGCAAGAGCCAAGAAGGTCTTAAAATAAGGTCTGCTAGGCAGTTGACCACAAGCAGCACAAATTGCGTTGTCCCTGCCAATGCCTGCTAGAGACACCATCAGGTCTGTCAGTCAGAGGAGGTGTCGATTAACCCTGCGGCACCCCAGAAATACCACGGCTTCACAGAGTGCCCAGTGCCCTGAAGGTACAAGACGCTGCTGCTCGAAAAGCAAAAGACAGCAACCAAAGCACAAAAAGCTGGTCGGAGAAAACAACACAAAATGCGGGAAACAGCAAGCACCTAAACTTTAACTTGGATGTCTTGTTTCTGATTCTTTTCTGCACATGCATGCCCACAAAGCAACCGGCACTTACCACGCTCATCCAGTAAAATGTTGTCAGGCTTGATGTCTCTAAGAAAAAAGGTAGAGAAGGGAAGACAGCCATTAGCCTAGAAAAGTGACATGAAACACAGCTGCAGACACGTCAGGAAAGCCCAGGCTCTGAAGGGACGCACTTCCAGAGATGGCATGCCCTAGTAAGTGTCTTTGCTGGGGCTCTTGAGCTCCGATGTTCCTGCAGGGCTTGATTTAGGCATGACAATGACTTAATTGAACAACAAAAGCAGACATAGTGGTACATGGCTATGGCTGTGAGGGCTGTTCTGGTTTGGTCTAGCAGCACCCAGGCAGTCCACCTACAATGTTAGAGCTTCTTTCTATCCTTTTAGTCCTTTTACTTCTTAATCCGTTTCAATACCATATTGAGAGCTGTTCCGCCTTTACTCAGTAAAAATCAATGATTTTAACACCTTGGTTCTAGAAACAAATGGGTTCCCCACAGGTTTTGTTCCCAAAAAAAAATAAAAAAAACCCCACAAGAAAATAATAATACCTGTAGCAACGCTGTAGGG